TCAGCCTTATGGAAGTACATTAGAAGGTGTGTTCTCAAAGGTAATAAATGTATTTTGAAAGACTTCTAAAATCTTTGACAATTAAATATTAATGTGATATATTCTCAGAGAAAAATTGTGTATCACTATAGCTGTCACATTTACTTCAGGTTTCAAGTAACTTTTTCAAATTAAATCTATATCTAAAAGTTATCATTACAAAATCAAATAATTACCCCCAAATCTCATAACTCATCCCAGTTACAAGTTAGTAAGAGTATTATCTATGCAAAAATTCCTTGAGTAAAAAGTAGACATAATCGTATTAGAAGCAAACCAAGCAAGAAACAGAAAAATATAGGGCATATTTTATTTACAGTTATATTTTTATGCTTCATTAACCAAGAAGTGGCAAATACCTTAATGCACACTTAATTACAGAAAGAATTACATAAAGATATAAAGGAAAAAACATACAGATAATAATTAACGAGTTTTCAGCCAGAGGTATTTATATCTTTGAGATTTAGAATTTTTTTTTTTTTTTTTTTTTGGTCTTAAATATCGGGCCTGATTTCAAAACTGTCTACTGCTTACAGGGAATCAGTGTAAACATTTTCAATGCAAACAAACCAATCTTTAGCTTCACTGCCACCCAAAATATCTTCCAAAGAAAGGTATGACCTTATCAAAGCTAACAGAGATAGTTAAGAGGTCTGGGCTAAAAAGGGACAGGGCTCAAATCCTTGGGTGTTGTACTTTGGAAAACACCCTGAGTAATCCACTCGCTATAAGCTTGTTTTTAAAAGAAACAGGACCATAACTGAGTTTGCTTGATGAAAGAGCAGGACTCAGTAATGCTGCCACAGGCCAGCACACCCTCCTCTGCTTGTCAGAGGGTCTGAGGAAGAACATTTAGATAATTCACATGCTTGCAATGAATCCCCAGCTGAAACATGTTATAAAGCTCTTATTGCTAAGCCAGTTTAAGAAAGAGACTACAGGTGTTTCTCAATAAAACCATAACATTATAAGCTTTGCTTGGTGTTGTAAATAAGTATTATTAAATGTTAAGTGGCTTCCTATAGCCTCTTAATAAATTATGGTTTGTTCACTACTGAAACTTACTGCAATGTTTTTGGGGTTTTTTTTTCAATGAAAGAACACACTTGCGAACTTTTAAATTTGCCACAATAGACTGGCAAGCTTACACGTATGGGGAGGTCTCAAAAGTTGACATAGAAAGGTGTTAGTATAAAGGAGGGAGGTGCTGATGAAGTCTTTAGGGTATTAGGAGGAAGAGATGGAAGGCTCAAGGGATTCAGAGAGAAAACTTCTGGATTGAAGGAGGAGCATCATGGCTCTTAAGGGCAAATCAGTCATGCTGTCTCCTCCAACCCCAGGTCCTGCTGGCTTTTCCTTGTTCTCACACATATCACACGTGTTTTTCAAGTCAGAATTCACTTTCAGTAGGTTTAGTGTGTCTATTGTCAACCTGCTGTGGTTAAGGCTGGGAAGGTGTGTGTGTGTGCCCCAGGCCTCTCAGCACAGGAGGGGTCTCGCTGCTGTGCTGGTTTGTACCTGTTGAGACATACTGTACCACACTTCTGATAAAATTATACCAGTTTGCTTCTTATGGAATCCAAAACACATAAATACATAGTCTTCTATGAAGTATAACTGATGATGTCAACAATGACATGGAATTTTCAATTTCATCCAACAGATTAAACCACTTAAAGCCAATTCAAATGTATATTTACATATTTGGAGTGAAGAGTAACCTAGAAACTGAAATTTGTTCAAACACTTATTTTAATAGTGTCTTTTGGAACATGTTTATTTTCCTTAAAAATGAAGCAGAACAAACATGAATATTACAACACATTTTTCCCCTGTATATCTCCATGAGAAGAATATTTCTAAATACATGATAAAAACTGGTGTAACCAACAGTAAAGGGAAGAACCATTCTCCAAATGCCCAATGCACCTCAGAGAAAGCATACAATTTAAAAACTGATACTTTTAGCAAAATTTTGATTTGAGTCAAATAGGTTATTAAAATTTAGAAAAGAATTTGATTCAAACACCTATAAACTAGGTAGTTTCTAAAACTAGTCCTTTACAACAGTACTGGGTCATCCACAGTATATCAGTCACTCTTAGGAATGGTGAGGACATTATTTCTCTTAACATACGGCTAATCCATGAAATACCAAAACGAACAGTTGGAATAAAAATTACATTTCAACTTACTATGATGTATCAAGACAATTTAAGCAGGAGTTCATTTCTTTGCATTCAGATATAACTCCATATTGTTTTAAGTAAATGCAAATAATATTCATTAAAAAGACTTTAGGCACAATAATGCAGACGCTATAAACTAAAGCTCATAATTTCTAAATTCTCCCAAATAAAATATCTAATGCAGTTTATGATCTTGCATGTTATTTGTTGATTTTCATTCATTTTCAAAATTTTGTAAGAATTTTTATTTTCTAGAGTACTACACGTTCAGAGAACATCTTTATAGTTACAGGTTGTCACTGATCTTTTTCTACAAAAATAGAGTTGCTTAAAAATTTATACCAATTTGCTTTCATTTTCTATAAATATTTTAAGTTGTTAAATATCAGAATGCCTAATAGAATCATTTAAATTAATCCATGTAGTCAAAATATTTAATACGTAAAATGTGTAGCAAAAGTTTGTCATTTAATAAATGAAAAAATTCATCATTTAACAAATGAAATGTTCTGTCTTTAACTACTTGTATCTTACGTAGGTGGATACAATCACAGAACAGCAAAGTATAGCTCCTGTAAAGATCTGACTTCAAGTAGCATGGCAGCTTGCAGTGTCTTTTTCATTTCATGTCTGTTTTGTGAGGAAATGCATAGAAGCTACTTTTGGATATTAAATCTGGATATTAAATTAACTATCGTGCAGCCAGCTTAAAATAAGAATTGCTGACTAAGGGAATAACAAACTTTAGTTCAACACATTGATATTTTAATTACACTTACTTAGTGAGGGGTTATACTGCAGAAAGGTGCTGTTGGTGAAAGTAAAAATGAAGTTTTAAGCATGAAATAACTATAAAAATGGAAATTGCTATATTGAAACTCACTAATATATAGCTTTATATTGTCTTCCTTTTTTTTTTTTGCGGTACGCGGGCCTCTCACTGTTATGGCCTCTCCCGTTGCGGAGCACAGGCTCCGGATGCACAGGCTCAGAGGCCATGGCTTATGGGCCCAGCCGCTCCGCGGCATGTGGGATCTTCCCGGACCGGGGCACGAACCCGTGTCCCCTGCATCGGCAGGCGGACTCTCAACCACTGCGCCACCAGGGAAGCCCTATATTGTCTTCCTTTTGATGGTGGGTTTAAAATCTGTGTTCAGAAGCTACAGAAATATCCAAAGTCAAAAATATTTCAAGTTTTGTTTCTTCCTAAAGGAATGAATTTCCAAAATAGTTTTCTAATATAAATGTTTTCCTTTTAAAAAGCCATTTTTCTTGCAAAAGAGCAAGAAAAGAACAAGATAAAGCCACGTGCTTTCCTACCCCTGCTAAACAACCAATACCTGTTTAAGTGCCTATGTGTAGAAGGCACTAAATTTAGTAACAAATTATCAAATATTAGCAGATTTAAAAACAAATACCTATATTTTATATTACTTTAATTAAGTCTTTCAAAAATAAGTGTACCTGGTATAAGCCAATCAATTTCAATTTTTCATTTAGTTACTGACCGAGATCTCAATTACCTTCTTCAAATGTTCTACAATGTATCAGGCCCCATCTGCATGGGACAGCCAAATCAATCAAATCACATCAAATCAGAAGTCCTGAAATATCCAGCTAGCCTCCCTTCATCATCATAACATGGACAATAAGAGTAAGTCACACATTCTCCTTCAAACGGAATGAATTAGATCTTCTGGTTTGGGTTCAACTAAATTCTAGTATTTACCGCTGATTAATTTTTTTCCTTAGGTAAGGATGATCATTAAAGTACTTGAGAAAAATAAATAAAGGCAATAATAGCTAACTATATAATTCTATATTTGGGTTGTAAGGACCAAAGCAAACACAAACATACCCACAAACAGAAAAAATAAGTCACCAGTCATTTATCCTCAGATAAAGCAATAATATTGATAATCAGAATGCTTGGATTAAATTATCTATTGTTTTCCTATCCTTTAGGAAAGACACAAATTCAAAGCACTCAAAGTGCTGGTTAAGCAAAAGCATGGGTGTAAATTGTGAGTAAAACATGAATACTGATTTTGTTTTGTAGTCTTGGTCTCATCAAGAAGAGGCCTACCTTAGGAGCATGATAAATACATATTGCATGAGATTTTGGTGCTGATGTTGGGTTCTGAACTCAGGGGAGGTTTTGCAAATAGAAATAATATATTTTTCATAGAAAAAGTGCAAGGGGCGCAGATAGAGACAGCAGTGTTAAAGCTTTTTTCTTAATGATTCCTCCTATTAGCCCAAATAGTCATCTAGAACATGCATGTTTAGAAGGAAGAATTCATCTCTTAAGGAGCTCTATTAGATTGGTCTTAAGCTTTACTACAAAAGAAAAAAGCAATAATTTGAAAAAATGTTTAAAATAGAAATAATAAAGTGATGTCAGAAAAATCTGAAAATGCAAGAAATATTTCCCATAAGTTAACTAATTAAAGATTCCCCAAATAAGCAAAATACTTCATTATTAGTAGATGACAGCATATCTAAATGAAAAAGACATCACTTCTAATAGCCTAAGAAAAAGAACATTTCAACAATTTGGAAATTAAACACTATACAGGTACTGACAGCCATAGTAAGAAATGAGTGCAATACAACAAAATGTGGAGAGCTATCTACAGATTTTAAAGCAGTTCCCATTCTTTCAGCAAAATCGGTGACATAAAACCAAGTGCACCAAATTAGCAAAGTCATGTTTTCACAGAGAAAAATACCAATGCTGGTTAACAGGTTTCTAAAAAGATTCACCACCATACTTATACATTTTTATTTAAACCTTTAAGATTTTATCCATGCTTATAATGCCGAAGAATATCAGAAAATAAATCTTCAGATAAAAACTACATTTTAGTTTCTCTTTTCTAACGGTTAGGAAAAAAAGGACATTGAAACCGAGAATAACAAGTATAATTAATAAAGAAGCACAAGAACATGCCAAGAATTCAACCTATCAGAAGATATAATGTGGGTAATCACGAAGTATGCTTATCAATAGCCCACTTTTAGTCAAGTTTTCCATTCTGAAGACTCTTTTTGGCTTTCTCTTGTCTTATGAGAGAGATGACTTTGATGCACCCCTTTGAAATTTTGATCATCCACATGACATTCATTACATCCAAAACAACACAAGTAGAGATCCAGGAACACTGAATTAAAAATCCAAGCCTCAGGTAGGCTTCCGTTCCTAACACAGAGTAAATGTAGCCATAAAAAGGAGGTATGGAGGCAATCCGCACTATGAAGAACACCACAGTCATGAGTATTCCATTGATGACATTAGCCTTGGAAAACTTAGGATACTTCAGAGCCTCAAAGAACCACCTGGGAAAAAAATTAAAGAAACATCACATTTATTCTGCATCTCTGAGGATTAACAATTTCTAGTTTTTCATTTTTAAAACTCAGAACACCCCCCTAAGATTTATGTGGCAAGACAAAAGGCCTAGAATGGTCAACATAATACTGAAAAAGAATAAAGCTGATAGATTAACTTTCAAGACCTACTATAAAGCTACAATAATCAAGACAGCATGGCATTGGTAAAAGAACAGACAGGCCAATGGAACAGAATAGAGAGCCCATAGACAGACCCACACAAATATACTCAACTGACTTTTGATAATGGTGTAAAGGTAATTCAGTGGAGAAAAAACACTCTTTTTAACAAACAGTGCTGGAACAATCAGACATCCATATGCAGCAAAATAAACCTAGGCAGAGACCTCACATCTTACACAAAAATTACCTTGAAATGGACCACAGACTTAAAAGTAAAATGCAAAACTGTAAAACTTCTAGAAAAAAAACAGGAAAAAATCTGCATGATCTTGGGTTTGATGATAGTATTTTAGATATAATACCAAAAGCACAATCCATAGAAGAAAATATAAGTTGGACTTCGCTAAAATTAAAAACTTGCTCTGTGAGAGGCACTGTCAAAAGAAAATGAAAAGACATCCAAACCCTGGGAGAGATTGTTTACTGAATACATATATGATAAAGTACTTATATCCAAAATATATAAAGAACTCTTAAAGCTCAGCAATAAAGAAACAACCTAATTAAAACATGGGGAAAAGATCTTAAACACCTCATCAGAGAAGATAAACAAAAGGAAAAAAAGCATATAAAAAGATATTAAAAATCATTTGTCATTAGAAAAATGTAAATTAAAACAATGACATGCTTCTACATATCTATTAGAATGACTACAATCTACAAATCTGACAATACCAATTGCTGGCAAAGATGTGGAACAATAGGAACACTCATTCATTGTTGGTGGGGATGCAAAATGGTGAAGCCACTTCAAAAGACAGCATTGCAGTTATAATGCTAAACATATTCATAGCACACAATCCAACAATCACACTTCTAGGTATTTTTTCAATTGATTTAAAAATATATGTCCACACAAAAACCTGCATGCAAGTGTTTACACCAGCCGTATTCATAATTGCCCCAAACTAGAAGCAACCAAAATGTTATAGGTTGCTTCATAATGTTATTCACAATGTAGTACGTGAATGGATAAACAAATTGTGGTATGTACATACAATTAAATGCTATTCAGCGATAAAAAAGAACAAACTATCAATTCATGTAACACCATGGGTGAATCTTAAATGCATACTGATAAATCAAAGAAGCCAATCTGAAAAATGCTACCTACTGTAGGCTTCCATTTATATGACATTCTGGAAAAAGCAAAACTATAAAGACAAAAAAACAGATCAGCGGCTGCCAGAGGTTCAGGGAGAGCAGGAGAGGGTAGAATAGGTGAAACACAGGCAATATTTTAGGGTAGTGAAACAATTTTGTATGATACTGTAGTGGGGGATATATGACATTATGCATTTGTCAAAACCCACGGAACAGATGAAGAGTGTATGCAAATTTAAAAAAAATCAATAGGAGGTTGGGGCATGCCAGGCAGAATGTAGCCTGTGATAAAAGAATCTAACTGCATTCCAAATACATGACATAACCTCACTGGAGGGAGTGGGGTAAAAATAGGTGACCTAAGTAACTTTGAAAATGAATTAAGACTGTAAGACTAAAGACAAAAGAAACTGTACATAGGCACTTTGCTCTAGCTGGTAAAATTGTTATCTCATGGGGGAAGAGGTTAACAATTCCGAAACCATTATACATGTATACTGGTATTTAACAAATAAGTAAATTTGTCTGATGGTGAAGTGGGAACCAGATTTCTCATGTGGGACTGGAAGGTTACAGATAATTGAGTGCAAAAGATTAGATTGATCCACATGATACTGGATTAGAGCTGGAAACTTCAGTATAAACTCATGCTTAGTTTAATACATATATACAGATGGACAGATATAGAAATAATTATAGATATGTGTGTATACACAGGTTAGTATATTTCCAAGTTGTCAGCTGGGAGGGCATAGAAACAATGATGCCCCAGTAGCAATGAGCACACCCAGGGCCCATATTTTGGTTTCTAATACCATTGTCCAATAAAAGAAAACAAGACTCCTTGAGAAATGGCTGATTCTAGAACTGGGACAGAGAATACACAATATAAATCTAGAGTATTTTTTTAGTATCAGAAAATAAAGAAGTGCTCCAAAAAAGATGATGAAGTTATGTCAAAGGGACACAGAAGACAACTGAAAGAGCTCACAATGGCAAAAGTTGTAACAATTTGAACAAAATAAGTAATATAGTATTGGATTCAAACTCAAAGTATAAAATAAATATCCGTGAAGCCATGGTAATATAAATGAATGAATGAGTGAATGAATAGGGGAGAAAAGGTAAATATCCTGTACAGAATAATTGCAAATAAGTTATGTAGATATTGCACCCTTAAAGAGGTGAAGCATAACTCCCCACTCTTCAAGGGGGGACTTCGTTACAGAGTTCAGTATAGAAGGCAGGTGGGGTGGAAACACTTAACTTTAAAATTGAGAACTCTTACAAACCCTGCCTCAGCCAGGTGAACAAGGTAAACAACAGTGACAATCCATGTTTATGCAGGTAGTCCTGATATAATGTGATGAGAGTGGCACTTTACTTCTGTGGTCTTCCTCCAAAAACCCCATAACCTCAGTCTAATCATGAGAAAAACATCAGACAAACCCAAATTGAGAAATATTCTACGAAACAGCTGACCAGGACTCCTCAAAACTGACAAGGTCATCAAAAACAACGGAAGTCTGAGAAACTATCACAACCAGGAGTCTGAGACGTGACAACTAAATCCAATGTAGTATCCCGGATGGGATCCTGGGGCAGAAAAAGGACATTAGGTAAAAACTGAGGAAATCTGAAAATACTATGGCCTTTAGTTAATAATAATGTATCAATATTTGTTCATTAATTATGACAAATGTACCATACAAATGTAAATATTAACAATAGGAGAATCTGAGTGTGGGGTATATGGGAACCCTTTGAATCATCCTTGAAACTTTTCTAGAAGTCTAAAATTATTCTTAAGTAAAAAGCTTATTTTAAAAAAATTTAGTATTTGCTGTATTCTACTTTTTCCTCCTCAAAAAAAACTATCTTGCCTAATGTTACCTCATTATATTTTAGAGGTTAAGTTGTAAATGTAGTAAAATGTATCCATGTATCTTAATATTCAATTTGACAGAATTAGTCATGACTAAGCTAGAAACTGCTCAACTTCAGAAATTAAAAATTAACTGTTAAAAAAACCTTAAAATATTTTTCAGAGATATTAAAATATCAAACAGAAATAATTTGTAGGATAAGACGGGTATTACAATTTATAAGTATGTGTAGGGTGAAAAGAGAAGGGCTAAATTATTCAACGCAGTTAAAAACAAACTATTTAGAGAGTAATGCTCAAATTAATAAAATAATATCACAAATAGGAAAAATGTCACTAAAGAAGTAAAGTCAACATCTTTTGCTCTATCCAGATCTCCTATCCTCCAGACTTCTCTACTCCAAAGATTTCCCCTCTGACCCTCAGCCATTCCTTTCTTTGACTACATGGTAGCCTTGGGTTTAATCAGAAATGCTATACCTCAAATAACCCATCCCCTTCTAAGCACAACTCGTAGTACCCCATATTTCTCTTTATCCAATTCCACCTAAATCTCTTTTTTGACCTCCACTCCCAAATCCCTCACTACCAGCCTTTGATTCACTTCCTTTCCTACCTACCTGAACTCAGTTACCTTCAGAACACACATCGGCACCCTCAGTTCTCTTGCCCCTTCATCCATCACACTCACGCTGCCTATCCCCAGCTTCTCATCAGGCCAGCTTTCCTTAGGCAGAGTATAGAGGGAAGGTGGGTACTGTATTCTGCAGTCAGAAGGCCCAGGTTCAAACCTGCTTCTGCCACTTAGCAGCTGTGTGGTCTTACCTCTCTGTTATTGACCTCTATGTCTCAGTTTGATCCCTACAAAATGGGGATAATGATAGCATCTCCCTTATACCATGAAGCTGTTTTGACACATAAGAACTCCCCTGTACTAGGAGCTCAATTAATAGCTATTATTACTCGCTAATATTGATATTAACATAAATAGCACAAATGTAACTTAAAGAGCTCTGAATTTCAACTGAATTCTCAAATTTGCTTGGCATTCCTTTTACTTAACTCCACATTCTCCATAGAATTGCTCCCCAACCTCTGTCTCACAAATCAAGTCACTTCCCTTCCTTATTCACTTCTACTTCTCAATTCCATCAGAGGAACTGGCCTCTTCTACTACTAAGGTATTTGAGTCCATCAAATGAATTCCTCAAACTCTGACCCCAAGGCTTCAAATCTTCTTTTCAAGCACCTTTTTCTCTATATTCAGATGAAGAGGTTTCTCTCCAAGGCCAATTGCTTCTGTACCCATGCTCTGTGACTTTAGGCCATCAATTATCCCCTTTCCCTTGCTCCATCCAGTTCCCCACGTATAGGTTGATTCTTTCTTCTCTCTTACCAACATGCCCGATTCTTTCTAATCCAAAAAATCTCTCCTTCTGTTTTTCTTCCCTATTAAACTCTTAAAAAGAGAAGTCAACAGTGTATTCACAGACATTCTGGCTATACTTCACAACCCAGTACAATATGATTGCATTCCCCTACAAAAGAAATTGATCACCAGTGGCATCCCCATAACCAAGACAGTGGATTCATCTCAGCCTTCATCCCAGGTGACCTTTCTATAGCATACGACACTGCCAACCATCATACTTGCTTTCTCCTCTCCTGATACTGTTTTCTCTTGATTCCCTACCTATACTTTTTCAGTCTCCGTTTCCTCTGCCTGTCCCTTAAATATTTGTGCTTCCCAGGCACACTCCCTTCCATATGCTCT